TGCGTAGTGTCCTCGTTCTGTACACTTGTTGCATATTTTATCTTTCGCAGGACATTGTTGCAGATGCCCTGGCCTAAAAGGATTTCCGCATTTGAAACATCGTTGTTTTTGGTCCGTTGACTGTCGCTGAGAGTAACCACATTGCTGTTGTGATTGTTGACGTTGTCGTCCTCCCCTTGATGAATAGCGGTTGTTGTTGTTGTAGGTGTTGTTGCCCCTCTTTGCTATGAAACCAACTGGTTCCGATTTCACTGTGGTTATTTGCGTGTTCGGTGCTGATCCCTGTTTTCGGATGAGTAATTGGTTTTCTTAACCTTTCTCTCTTCGAATCGCGTATTCTAAGGCTTGCTCAGGCGTTTTTGTTTCTGCCAGAAGATCTTTTTGCACTTCGTCGTTGGACATATTGGCGGTGAAAAGGTCCCTGATGATTTCTGTTTCAAGTCTTCCATCATTACAATTCACGCATTTGAAATTCCCTATACCCTATTGAAGAACTCCGTAGTGGTACTGTTCGAGTGATTCTGTTTTCCCTTGTTTTCGGGTAAACGCCTCATATCTATCGAAGGTGACATTTCGTTCTTTCACAAATAGACGTTTCAGACGATCCCAAAAACTTCTGGTGGTAACCTCTTGTATCCTAAGATCTAGGTAATATTGTGATACTCTTCGTTGGCCTTCAGCTCCCAGACATAGGTAAATGTAACTTCAACATTTGATATCCGCTTCGTCTCATGGGACGCCGTCCACAGTTGGGCCTAAGTTATCTAAGTGTGCACCTTGGTTTTCCCATGTCACTTTTTTCTCTTGGTTACGAAGATTGCGGTCACGAATCTGAACATTAGTCTCCCCATCGATGGGAAGTTCGTGTCCCGGTTCTTGAGGTCGTCTAATTGCAGGAGGATTTTGAAGTAGTTTTGATAAGTCTATTCCATCTTTGGCAATGATTCCTAGAAATAACTGTTGATTCCATTTCTCCCTTTCTATTGGTGGGTCCGCCGAGGCTTTCTGCCAGAATGGCGAAATTCCTAATGGGTTTTTCGTAACTGCTGGCTGCGCCATGTTATACCCACGGAAAGTTGTTAGATGACTTGAGATTCTGAATGATGTCCGAAATAAGATCGAGCGGTTAAATTAAATTCAGTTTGTTAATTGAGACTCTGTCTTTCGGCTTTGGACTGACCTCGAAGCATGTGAGAATCATAACTCATAGAAACTAGTACATAATGAGTTTTAGTTTTTCAAAGTATCGTATTATCACAGATCTCTATAGATTATATAAATATACCAACTGGTTATATATGTAGATATATATATATATATATATATATATATAGCGCCGAGTAACTATATCAGTATAGTAATCTATTTCTTGTTTTAGTTTTGTATGGTCCATCTGACACAATGAGTTTCTTTACTATACACTGTATAGCAGTGGAAGACGGAATAAATTGCTGCTTAAGCGTTAATAGCACGAAATATATCACGCGTTAATTAATCCAAATCGGTAAAATCCAAGTCGGTGATCAATTTGAAAAAAGACCCCAACTCAATTTCTGAGTCAATTTCAGCATGAGCCAATTTCGCTCTACCGTAAAGACGCTCGACAGTATTTGAAATTAGCTCGTTGTTGTGGCTAGTATCTACTTGGAATTGTCTTAGAATCGGTCGTCTTGGTCGTTCGTGATAAATGACAGCAGATGTCAGCACCAAGAAACTTTTTTCGAAATAATCTAGGGCAAATTGGATTAGAATATCGTAAATACTACCTTCTTCTGCATGAATTCGTATCGCTGTGACTGCGATCCGCTCCTTTTACCATATGATGACTTCTAGGGACAAGGACCTAGGAAAAACGCGATTCTATACATTTATTTCAAAGTATTAGTAGTTGTTGTCGTAGCTACATCGATCTATGCTTTGAGCCTCTGATTGAATTAGAGAGATCGTTTATGTTTAAGGGATCGAGGGGGGGGGGGGGGAGAGTTAAGGAAATATTGATCATAATGATCGTGTCTGGTCTTGTTGGTTTTGTCTCGTTCAATTTGTCTCGTTGTATTTCGTCTATTTTGAACGAGTTGTTACTAGTAACCGGAATAACCGATCAGTGAAATTATTTTTTTTTGGTCAACCAGCAAATCAATAATATTTACGTTAATGTGTTAGAAGCAATACAGAATAGTTTCAAATAGGTGCAAATACTGATCAAATTGCGTGATTAAAGTCCATTGACATAATAAATGTTTGACCGTTTGGAATATATGTATATGTATATATGTACGTGTAAATATATGAAAACCGTTTGGTATTAAGTTGGAAAAATAATTAAGAAAAAATGTATTTTATTGCCATTATATTTCGATCAAGTATATTCTTTACACTTGCTTCAAGTTAATTGTGGAATAGCTGTAGTGGCATTTTTTCTTTGTGATTCGTCTGCATTATTTCGTCGGTCATCTTTTTTCATGATTCAAGATCATTTAAGATATTTTCATTCCTCGCAGATATGTGGATTCCTGTACAGCGCTTGATTCCGGTCAGATATGAAACATTTAGAAGAGGCCAATTTTATGCCTAAAGTATCGATTTTTTTTTTTTTAAATTTTTCGGTTCTTTTTTGATGACCATCGTATATATGGTGTAATTTCAAACATTTTAAACATTTTTTTATGCATTCATGATAGTTTTCGGATCTTCATTTTTCTAAAAAGATCTCGTTAATTTGTCCATGAACCAATTTACTTTAAGATTATCGCGATAATCAATTTTTTCAGGAAGCTTTTTCTGATTTTTTCAAATTTTAATATCGATATTTATACAGCGCTTGAGTCATGCTTCTCAGATAGTTTTTTTTTTCATAGCTTGCCATATGCAGTTTATATTGATTCCGCGTCATTTTGTAACTTTTTGTTCTCAATAAGACTTTTAGTAAAATATTAGTAACTGTATTTGGGAGCAGATCTCGGCAAGCAATGGGTTCTAATTTTCATCTGTCGGCAAGCTCGCAACACGTAGGCGCGACTGCGGCAGTTACTCTGAACAAATAAAGAAAGAATTTGTTTTGGTATTTAGGCATAAGATTTTGGCGACAAGTTATAAAAAAAAGTATGTTTTGGTGATAAGTTTTAACATTTTGGTTTTAAGTTGAAAAATATAAGTGAAACTGTCAAAGAGTTAAATTTCCAGGGAATAAAATTGTGAAGGTGTGAATCGACGAAGTATTAAATTGTTAGCTGTTAAATAGTATGGTGTTAAGTTCTTGGGCAAATTTTCTAGCCCCATCCAAAACCTGCATATTAACCATTAAACAAGCTCTTCTTGGGGTGGTGATGCTTGATTTAGTACCATAGAGGGGGGTTGTTAAACAGATATAACTTCAATTCTAAATAGAACGAATTGTTCAAAATAAGTTTGGCGATGTAATCGAATTCAATCGATCAGATGGGATCCTTTTTATTTCTATTTTCATGCTTTAATATGAGAAGTTTTGGACAGATTAAGTAAAGAAACGAAGCAGCTCTCGGTAGTTACATTGAGATTGCCGGATAAAGGTTCAGGAGGCTCCATAAATGGAAACATGCAAATTGCGCATTTGGAGCGGGGCAGTTTCACAACAATTGTTTCCAACAGATGGGCCTGTCACTATAATTCGGTGTTGCATCCACCGCAATCTATGTTTTAAAAGTGCAGTAAATTTTCTATAGAATTTTCAACTTAAAACTTAGCAATCCTGTTCCATCAGGTTAATCGAATCTACCAATCAGCAGAATTATATTTTCAAATTATTCTTTATTAATTGTATCCTGCATGAAGTCATGTGCTACATTTCATGAAGTTCCTCCTCCTGCATCGCATTTATTGTATTCCTGTATTTTCTCGTTGATTGTTCGAGTTGAAATTAAAATTCAGGTTTTGTCTTTAACTGTTTTCAAACGGACGGTAGAGTCCAATAAATTTGAGTTTCCTTTTTTTGTTCCACCAGGATTCAAACCAACTTTAAAGTGAACTTAGTTGTATAAGGCTGTGTATGAATTTGAAAAAAAATTATAGTGAAATTGAGCTGGGTCAAGATTGGGTAAAAACTCACCGAAAAAAATCCTCTGTAAATCCCAGCTTTCTTCATGAAAATTTCTTGCGCTGCTGGCCATTTTTTGAGCAAAAATTCCGAAAAATCGGTTTTGGTACAATCACTATTTTGAGAAAGAGGGGCTCGGATTTGGCTGCGGTAATTTGTAAATTTAATAGATCAGATCTGATGGGGGAAAAGAAAAGAGCCATTACTAACTTACGCTACGCCAGGCACTCATCCAAAAAATGTTTGGGTATTGTAAAACCTGAAGATACAGCAGCGCTCAGTTTACTTCGCGCCATAATCTGAAAATTCGCGGTTCTTAAATGGTTATCAGTTCCTAGTTGAACATTACGAGGCCAAACTGTGCACTGGATAGGCGCACAATTTTGTGTCTGTATGTTCGTGGATTCCAGAGACAAATCTTTAAACATGTTACAAACTGTAAGTATATTCCACTCACAAAATTTCCCTGGATTCCGCGTACAAATACCTGTTACGTAAATTTTGTCGGCACATTTGTTGTGTCGCGAATTCTGCAACAAGCGAATATAGCGAGTAGTTCAAGATTATCACCATGTCCAAAGACTATCTCACATTTTGCAGAAAAACAAAAGAAAAGATTCTTTAAATTTAGCATTAAATTTGTGTTGAACTATAAAAATAATAGTCAAAGCTTATTTCGATCATCAAAATTCCAGAGAGAAAACCAATCCATGGAGGAAAAAACTTGACTGGCATAAATATTTATCCATCGGAGATTTTTTTTTAATTTGTGTTTTATGACGGTTCTGCTGAGCGATTCGGGACAAAAAATAATGGGAACAGATAAAAATATTTCAATTCTAGATAAATTTTTTCTTCAGATAGTGATGTACTGGTTGTTATGGATATGAAGTTTATAAAAACTATTTGGTGTTAAGCTGGAAGCGGCTTCAACTGATCAAAGTCTGTTGCTATTGGCTGATTAATGAAATGAATCAACATTTTAAAAATTCCTTCACCTCAAAAACAACTTGATAATTCCGACCCGTTGTCAAATATTCATTTGGCCCCTTCATATCACATGCTGGAACCATTCTTGGTTTTTTGTTTCCTCTCAGCGTTCTTTTTCTTGAAGTTATTCCACACATTTAGCACAGAAGTTGCGCCAGACGCCTGAACTTTTTCTCTTCACGGAAATGCACTCGCATTCTGGTGTGCAAGTAGTTTGGCCCTCCGCGCAGTCGCCATAAGCACCAGTCTCAGTCCTGCAGCCTGAAACAGAACAGTAGAAGCGCAGTGAATTTCTTTGTTGTGTTGCAAATGTCGGCTTTTACGAATGAATGACAAAAAAAATCAATTTGAACAACATGGAATTTTTTGGGATAAATCCTCGATCTTTCAATATTGCCGAGTTGAAGAAAAGTTGGGCTTTGACGTTACCCCTCAGGGATTCGATCTCCTGCCGACCCACAGGGTGACCCCTGTGTACCATTTTGAGCTATCCAATTTTGGCTGATGGACCCTTAAGTTTTTCTTAAGGCGCCAATTTTAACTAATTTTGAGAGGGAAGTCAAAGTTTTCCAAAAAGTGTCCAAAACGCCGCTTTTTTTCAAAATCCCACCTAAAGAACACATTATCAAAACTGCTGAATATCCTGATTAAGAATAAGAGTTGGAATGTCTTTTTAGTTCCTGTATTTACACTAGCGTCAGGGTATCAGACAAAAAAAAGCTTGAAAAATATTTCTTTCGCTGGTACTATCAAAACTAACTAAACAACTAGAATATTTATATGAGCAGTTTTCACTCAAAAATCTTTATTTCAAAACAAAATTCGATCCAACCCAATGTGCCGCTTTGAGGTCATCCAATAAGCCATGCCAAAATAGGTTTTTTCGATCAAAAATTTTTCTCGAAAAAGCATTTAAACAAAAAAATTAATATTTTATAAAAAATTAATCACTTATAAAAGTACTTTGAAAGTTTTGTCATTTGTATTCTAACCTGGGGTAACAATCCGTCGAACGCCGTAAATGGTTCTCGAGAAACATTCAAAAAGCAACAGTTTTTCGCAGAAGAATTTAGCATCATAAATCGAAAATTTATTAACAAAAGAGAACTTAAACGTGGTGCCACGTTTTCTACCGAAGTCAGTGAGACAGTGGTACAGCAGAAGCTAGAGGTCAAGTACGAAGACATTATCTTTGCCGTGGCAGAGAGCCAAATACATGCTTTGACTATTTTTAAGTGAAAACTTTGCCATTATGCCAGATTGAAATGGTAGCACAGAAGTTGATAAATGATGATTTTTTTTGTATCTCACTTGCGATACAAAAATTACTAAAAAAATTTACATTAAAGGTAATCAAGACTACTGTCAAAAATGAAAAGATTGCCTAAAAAAACTAGATCTACCATAAATGTTATGTTTTTCGCTAATTGTCACGAATGAAGTTCATTTTAAAAAACATGTCCAAAACTTGGAAGAGGGCTTATAGAAGGATAGTGAGAAGTCTTCAGAGACCTATCTAAAGCAACGAAGGTAGTAGGAAGGGATATTAATGCAAATGGTGGCTTTTAGTAGTTTTCTATCTCAACTAGCAAGCAAGGTGTAACGTCAGCAACCTGATAAGCTGACACGAAAACGAGTTTCAGAGAGACAAGATTGATGATTGAAAACCTTGATGGATAAGTATTTTTTTAATTACTTTTCTTCAAGCTATTGTTATTTTTAGTGAGGCAAGTGATTCGAGAACTATACGAACTCGTAGAAACTTAGTAAAAAGGCATGATAGAAATAATTTCTTTTAATAAAATGAAAAACAGTAAAAAATTGGAAAAAGTGTTATCCAATTTTTAGTACAATAATTTGGAGTAATTTTTAGAATTTTTTTTCATAAAAAAGCACTAAAAATATCTAAAACTAGTTTTCTAAGTCAAGTTTTTCATCCTAAAAGTTTAAACAAAGTAAATTTTCTTAAATATTGAGCAGTAGTCGATCACGGTACTCGCTCGAAATTAGACTAAGTCTCTTGATTCAAATTGATTCGAGTCACGACTGAAGGTTTTTATATGATATGTCATTCTATCCATTCCGATGATTTTTTGAGGTACCAGATTTTCCGTGGAAAAACTAAAACAAACTGAAACACCCGAATACAAAGTTCCGTCCCATTTTCAATGCACGGAACAGCAAAGCTATTTACAGGAAAAAGTTTAGCTTATCGCAATCGTAAACATGTTAGAACTCCGAAGTTGACAGATGATAGCCAAGTGTTAGCATTGTCATGGGGGAAAATTTTCTTCTAAACTGAAATGATTAAGTTTGTTTATTTTTACTTTCAAAATCGTAGGTGGCACAACTATTCACGAGTACCAGTGTGAACCAAGGGACGAACATCAGCACTACTGCAATCTGCTGTAGTCGAACCATTTATTCTTTGTCCTAAAAAGTGAAGTAATGACAAGTTAGCCGCATTTTCAAACTTCTTCAATAGTTCAACCTTCTATGCAGGGGCGGATCTAGGGTTTTCTCCAAGGGGGGAGGGGGGGGGGGGGGCACTATAAAGACCCCACTTTGACCTAATAGTTTGCGCCGCAGGCAAGTTTTTGAAGAAACAGGCCAAAAAAGCGTTTTTAGGCACTTTTTGGAAAATGTTGACCAAAAATTGCGTTTTTTCGGCGCGCGCTTACGCCTCAAAATTAGGGTCAGTCAACCAAAAATCTAATGTTTTGTACTTTGTATGGCGTGTGTGGGATGATTTTCATACAAACATTTTCAAATTTTAGAAAAAAAAGTTCTTCATTTTATTTTATTTGATTTTTTTAAAGTTGTTTATGTTATTACTGCTCTATAAACGTTAAAAGGCAGTCGGAACTTTCAGGGCTTCGCCCTGATACGAGCAGTCTTGTTTATTTTAACTGTACCCACTCGAAACTTTACAAAATAATTGTGACAAACGATCAAAATCTTATGGATACAAAGGTTGGTCAGTTATACTGATTTAACTGCTTACCTGACTAGAAATTGTCTTCGAGTATTGAAAGAGCAGCCAAAAAAAACTTATCCAACCTTTTAACGTTCAAGTTTCGGGAGGTATGACTGATTTAAGTGCCATTAGATGCAACATTTCGCACTTCTATCAATCTGGAATATTTATTCACCTTTCTCAGAACTTGTTGATATTTCTAAAATAATGGGAAGAAGGCAAACACAAAATCTGGAAATTAGTTCAGTTTCTTTTTAATTAAAATAGATCAAAAGAACCAAATGTTTCATTTGCTATACTCAGATGAGTGACCTGCGTCAACTTTGATGTAGCTAATGTTGGTTTTCGTTAGCTTTGTTGCCAATTTTTCAAGCGTTCGCTGGCCTTTTTGAGTCGTGAAACTTCTGTTTCTTTTCAGATTTTTTTTTTTCAAAATTGTTTAATGTATTTAAATACTTTGCCCGATTCCATTTACTTTTTGAGGTAAAATCGTCATAGCTTACCAGGCGAGAACAAATTTTAGGCAAGATATTGGACTTTTTAAGTTCATGATCATCTATGAGTTTCCATTTAAAAACATCTTTTCGATATCTTACGTAGAAAGAGAAACTCATAAAGAGGGCAAAAAGGAATACATTGTAAGGCCATATATCTACGAGGGAAAAACCATCATGAGCTGTTCAGCTTTATGACTAACTGCTTTTCTGCTTCGATTTGGGGACTATATCCAATTTTTAAGGTCTCAGTAATACGGTCTCACCCTCAAACAATGAGTAATGTCTGAAGCCACCAACCTGTGGACAGATAGGCGTAACCCTAGAATTTAAACTACTCTAATTTCGCTGATGCAATACATTCGAGGCTTAAAGTTTTGTTAAGATATCCCACTTTGCTAAATCTTTAAGAAAATTTATGTAAAAACACAAATGATTGCAAGATTTGCAAAAAAAAAGATGAACAATTAATTTGCAGATTTCTTCAAATTTTATATAAATTTTTTTTGCCCCTTTCAGTCTTAAAACGAAGCTGGAAAAATTTTGAATTTAGGCTACTTGTGATAACAACAAAGCCAAAAATTGATAAACTTTAAATTAATCTTTGAAAAATGAATAAATGAATAAGTTAAAAATTGGGTGAAATAGAAAATTGAATAAATCTTGAAACGATCCTCAAAGTTCTTTCGGATATTTCGAAGATTCTTCAAGATAATAATCTTGAAGAATCTTTGAAATATCTGGAAAAATCTAAGGATCATTTCAAGATTTATTTATTTTTCAATTTCCCCCATGAGCTAAAGGAGCCATCATAGACATTTCTGATAGTTTATTCAGGGTATTTAGTTGTTTTAATACTTTTGATAAAGCCGAAATTGTTTTGAAGATTCTTCGCTATTTCAGATTTTTTTTTCAGAATCTTCAAAATCTTGGAAAGATTTTTTTTAGAATGAGTGGATCTCGGAATAAATGATGCGTACAATAAGGCTGCAAGTTCCTTTGGAAACAATAATCAAACAAAAAATACTTAAACCAATAAATGACTCTAAATAACCTTACAATTTACTTCCTACTAAATAGAAAAACCTTAAATAGAACAAGACTGCTCGTATCAGGGCAAAGCCCTGAATGTTCCGACTGCTTTTGAAGGTTTATGGAGCAGGTGTAATAACATAAAAACATTATATGAAACAAAATAACATGAAAAAAATTTTTTCTAAAATTTGAAATTTTTTTATGAAAATCATCCCCCCACAGGCCATACAAAAAGATAGTTTTCGTTCCTTGTAACACATCAATTATGGCAAATAAGCTTCTTTCTACCAATTTGGAACGATTTATAAGATGGATTAAATCTCCGCTTACGCGTTAATAGCGCGAATTATATCGCGCGTTAATTGTCCCAAATTGGTCAAAATGGCCAAAATGGCAATCTTTAAACCCTCATAACTTTACGAAAAATGATCACAGGTGAAATATCTTTTCAAATTTAAGCTCAGGACAACAATATCTTTTGAAAGATATAAAAAAAATTCCGTCAAAAATGGCTAGTTAAAAAGTCGAGATTTGTCTGAAGAAAAAAAACCCACCCCGAGCACAAATATTCCGTTACTTTCGTATCGAAAGTCGGAACAATAACTAATTGCTTCTGAAATTTTTCTAAGCTAACTTGTTGGCTCAATACCATTAAACTTCGTTTTAATACTAGTTTGTATAACTCTGGGAAATTATGTTTGGTCAATTTTGTCAAATTTTCTTATTTCTTCATTTCAATTCAGTTCAGGGGGCTTTTATCGAAATTAAATCTGGAATTGTTCAGACCAGACCACACAGTGTGAAAGACTTCGAGTGACTCAGAGTGTACTTTTTTGATAAAATGTTTTTCCCCCGCCAGATATTGTATTATATACGAAGTTCTACTCGGAAAGTAGAAGTATTTGAATAATGAAAATTAGTATTTGAAGAATCTCAAAGGGGTGGGGAGATTCGTTACTAGGTTTAAAATTCTCATATGCTTAACAATTGATCTTTTTCTTTAAAGGGGGATATTCGTTACTAGGTACCCGGGGACTGTAGTTAAAGATATCCTATTTGAATACTGAAACCGAGATGCTTTTTTTTACTGAAATGTGAACTAGGTGAACAAATTGTTACTGGTGGAAACGGTAGAAGAGCCCAAAAAAACATACAAAAGTGTCGCCCAGGATTGAGTGTTCTAAAATCATCTGGTAACGATAAAAAAATGTAGTTTGAATTTTGGTTCAAAAAAATCAAGAGCCCCAAAACTTTATCTGATTAAAAGTCTCAAGTAATTCTGTTTTCCGTGGTGAGTGGTGGTGAAGTGGCTACGTCTCCACCTCTCAATCCAAAGCTCGTATGTTCGAGGCCCATCATGATTCGTGCTCGTTGCTTGAGGGTGAGGCAGCAATACCCAGAATGTATGTTTCGACCGTCTCGACCCAGGCTCGTGGATATATGGTCTATAATACTTAATATATTAGGATGTATGTTTCGACCTACTTCACCCGCAAGCTGTCTAGGTTTCGACTTTGAGTTCGACTATAGGGCCTTCTCGACTATGGATTTTCGGTCGAACTCTGACATGTGTTCGACCCTCCTCGGTCGAAACATAAATCGCAAACCTCTAACCGGGTAGTGTGCGTCACATGTTTTCAAATGTTATGTAATACACGTTTTCTGGAAGTCGCATTGTGGCGGTTTCTCTTAGTTATAACCTTTAAATCGCATTTGACAAAATTCATCTTTCTGATTCGCTATCTCTTTGTTTTCATTCTTTCACAATGCTATAAATTAAATGCCGGACCATTAAGAGCTATTTAATCAGAATTTATTAGAAAATATTCTGTTATCTGAAGCCCTAATATACAAATTATACATCATTTATCGTATTTTATTGATTGGCAGCGTTGAAAAAGTCTATACTTGTATAATATGCAACAAATTTCAAAGCGAAAATGAGTTTTTGAAGTTCTATTATCATGTAAGAAAAAGTTTTTTGTGAACGTAATTTATAGTGTTCATTTCTGGGCTGGCAATTGGGACCCGAGCGCAGTTCTGAATGAGTGAGGAATGTTGGTGTCTAATTTGCTGATGACCTTGTAGATCTGTTTCTTCCACCCGGAGTTCCTGTCCTTCCCGCTCGACACTGCCACTGCAAAATGCTGGATGGTCACGTTCACTGTATTCATAAACTCATCCGGCACCTGCAACAATTTCAGAACCACCTTTTTTCATTTTTTCCTTCATTTTGAAATTGAGCCTGGAAACTCAGAAATTTTCAGTCTTGAACTTCGTAACAAAAAACTGCGAGCTGTTAAAACTGTTCAAATAGACTATTTAATTTCTGTTTTTTACTCAATTCAGGATTTTTAAAATGCAAGTAATTCTAGCCAGCTGTATCAGACGTTCCGTTGAAATCATAAGAACGCGAGGATCTTGAACTAAATCTAAATGAATTCAGTTCAAGTTCAAGTACTATATTTTCTGCTGACTTTTGACTTCTCCTCAGAGAGCTAATAATGTAAGATCTAATTGAATTCAGACGCGTTCATATTAAAGTTATAAGGCAACAACTATCTGAAGATAGGTTTTTCTTAATATTGCTAGCTCACCTCAAGCTATTACATCAGCAATTTTGAATGTTTTTTTTTAGTATCAATTACTCTACAGACCTCAAAATTGCTCGTCTTGTTGTAGTGCGTGTTCAAGTTTTTGAACAAGTCTGACTTCTTGTCAATCGTCAAAGCCTGTCGCAGCTCCTCAAACTGCTCTTCCGAGTTCGTTACTTCGTGGTCGCCAATCAAAGACTCGATGTCGAAAGGACGATTCTGATTGGCTCGTTTTGGACTGAACCCCGAGAACTCTTTATTTTGGTTGGTCAAATCGGATGCTGAGCTGTAAGAACTATGTGTCCGATTTTCATTGGACAAAAACTTGTTTTTGTGCTTCTGCAAAGTGTCCCTGACGAACTTCTCAATTTGGATGTAGTAGTACTCTCGAAAATTACTAAACCACTGAAACAACATGTAGAACTTTTACTTACATGGCTTTTATATAAGTCTAAGCCACATTTTTTTCGTGTCACATTTTCATTATCAGATTTGAAAATTTTCCGATAGAAAATTTTCCTAAGAATTCTTGATGCAGTTATCCATATCGGTGTTTCAATTTACCGACCTTGATAAGTTGTGCGTTGTTAGACCTGTTGAACTTGACGTCCACAAAAAACTGTCTCAGAATAGCCGAGTTTGGGTATCTTTGATAGAAGAACATCAGCTTAGCCTTCCTCAGATGATTGGCAGTCAAGTTCTCGGTCATCTGCACCACTGAAACTCCTGACATCATAGAATTGTCCATCTCTTTCAAGAGTCGAGTAGCTCCACAGTTTCCTTTGGAAGTCCTAAGAGGAGTCTTGAAGTTATTGCAACTAGCCGCAAGTCTTCCGTTTTGTTTCTGGTCCAGGCTTGCATTAGCTGTCCGTGAGTTCAGTTTACTGATTGTTGATTTGGTCAATGATTGTGGAAATAGTTGTTCTTTAGCCGTACTTTTAATGATTTTTGAGTTCAGCCCACGCACTTGGTTTAAATGTTTGTTCGGGGATACTTTTTGACCAGACGTTGCGCTAAACAGTTGGGTAGTTTGAAAGGGCGCTGCATTGATGACTGGGTTCAGGTATCCATGTGGAAGTAGCTTGCCGTGCGTGGCCAATTTGTGCATCATTGGTAGTCCTGGTGTCTGCATCGGCATAAACGCAGAGTTGAATTGAAACCCCTTAAATACAAATTCAACTTTTAAAAAAGTTAAGTTTTTTTAGAATAATTTTTGAAACAAGGCAAAATTTCGCAAAATGTTTGGCGCAGAAACCATACATGTGGCGTCAAAAAATCTGTTTTCCCTTTAAAAAATTACTTTTACTTTAAATAAGTATTTTGAGGGTGATAAAAAGAGCGAAGCTCCAGTTATAAAGCTGGTTTTTTAGTAAAGTTACAGCAATTAATGCAATACAACGAGCAGTTCCACAGATTTATCGTACAAACAGCTTCATGAGAAAATGAAAAGAAATTGAAACCTACTCACTTGCTGATTAAATGTTGGAAACGCCATTGTCTTCTGCGGAAAAGGCATATTCTGAGGCTGGAGCTGCATCATTCCTGGATTTATTCCCCCTAAAGCACTGGCCTGTAGAAGAGCACCACTCAGCCGGGGACTCATCTGCTGCATCTTAGCGACTTGTCTACTTCGCTCCATTTCCAGATTTGTTGCTTGAATCAGACTGGCTAGAACTTCTGCACTTCGAATGTTGTTCGGCGGCACTTGAGGCGCGGACTGCTTGCTGTGAAGCATTTGATGAAAGACTGCCCAGTTACCGATGAATTGTTCCAGAATGTTTTGATTGTTGTATACAGATTGATTTACAAAACCGCAACTTGGGGTTAAGTTTGCGATTTTATGCGAATTTGCTTCGCTAAATGATTTTGATTTGTCACTAAAAAGGTCATTTTGTGTGAATCTGTTCCTTGAAGGCTGTTCTGGGTCCATTTTTATATCTTGGTCTGATATTTTTGGAAATATGACTGGCTCCGTTTCCATGTCGTCGACGACAACTGAAAGTTCCTCTGATTCTTGATCATCATTGGTCAAAATGCTTGCATCAATTTCGGCTGGACTTTTTGCAATGAATTCTTTAAGTTCGCTGCTGGCATCGATGATTGGTATCGAAATGTCTGTTGGGTTGACCGGAGAATTAGTTTTGAATTCCATTTTTTAAATAACGATTTTATTTTATTTTCGGATCAAGATTTATTCAGATAGATAATTTTATACTGATGTTCTAGCAATGGGGAGCAACTGACTTGAAGTTGGGAAACTGAGAAAATGGTGAGCAGATTTTTTAGCAGAAACTCAATTCCAATTTAGACTGATTTCTAAATTGATTTTTATTCAAAACACTTTTAGGTATTGTAAAAAGTAATTCTGATGTCCAAATTGGGAGCGTAATTGACTGATCTGTTGAGAGTTGTGAAAATTACCCTTTAAGTTTTAACAACTTTAGTTGATTTGATTTCGGACATTATGGAAATATTGGAGGGAATTTCGATTTACTTTGAACCAGAAATAACTACCAAGGGACAGTTCAATTCGAGATTGCAGTTGTTAAATTATTTGTTTTTTTTCTGTCTGTCAGTCGCACAACTTCGCACCTATTTGAGTTGGGCTAATATCTTTAACTCGTGATTTCTTTTTATAGCCCCGTTGCGGGTCCAAATTGATATTCCAGAATTTCAGCAAATTTTTATTTTTGCAATTCCCAATTTCTCACAACAAACAAGATATTTAATGTAAATGAGGAAATAAAAGCAAAATTATAGACCTCGCTCAAATGAGAGCCAGGGTCTTTTGATAGTCTGCTGTTTTGTGAATCTTAAAAATACTGAAGTAGCAAGATAATTGCTTAGAAATTTGAAGTCTGAAAATCTTGAAAAAGTGAAACTTTGATCCTTGTTTCCACCAAATATTATCATTACAGAAGCTCTTAAACATTAAAGGAACAGTAGTAATTAAAATTCACGGCAATATTATCACCTTTTTTCGCTTTGATGATCTTTACTTGATGACGCGTCTTCTTTTCTTTTGGGCAACCAACACATGGAATTTTAATGATAGAAAATATAAGTTGGAGCGAAAAAACTTTCGTAAGTTTGAAGATTTTTTCGTACATTGTGTGTTCTAACAGTTGTACAGTTGTTTAATTGAGATAGAAGTCGGGTAGAGTGGTCGCCTCACAAAATCAAACTCTGTAAAACCCAAAGGACCATCTGTTTGTATTATCGTATCATGACACCTGTTTAAGCAGCAATACTTATTGTATAGTCGTAGAAATTCATACTCAATTTCGCTCCATAGTCTGCGCCTCACCCTAATTCCTTAAATTGTTACGAAATTTTTTCATCTGAAATAATTATTTCAGTATTATAATATTGAATTAACTTTATTCCCCAACTGTCAGAAGTGCCCATTTTAAAAGCTAAGAAAAATAACTATTTTAATTAACTGGTCTCCTGAAACATTCTAGCAAATTGTGTGAGAACAACTCAAAATATATGTCTTTTGCCTGCCATTTCGTCATTTTGAGCGCTAGCTTTTGTGACTTTCTGGCGCTTTGCGCTATTTGGTTCATGGAAGAGTTCTAGTCATTACTGAAAAAGCACTCCGTTTTGGGCGTCACCATCAAGAATTTAACTGGGTAAAAGCAAACCGAAATTAAGTTAAACATATTTCATTGATTTGCTCTCAATATTCTTTTGAATATGAGAAAACGAACCAACTTCAGAAACTAAGTCCCCGAGCTGTTTCAAAAAGGCTTTAAGAAATCACATTGCTTTCCTTGGGAAAAAAAGCAGTTTGTGATCTCTACATTAATTGGTTAAATCTTGCTGAATCTGTAACCAATCAAATTGAATGTCAAACTTATTGTTCCGACTTTCGATACGAAAGTAACGGAATATTTGTGCTCGGGGTGGGTTTTTTTTTCTTCAGACAAATTTCGACTTTTTAACTAGCCATTTTTGACAGAATTTTTTAATATCATTAGAAAGCCATTGTTGTCCTGAGCTTAAATTTGTAAAGATATTTCACCTGTAATCATTTTGCGTAAAGTTATGAGGGTTTAAAGATTGTCATTTTGGCCATTATGACCAATTTGGGACAATTAACGCGCGATATAATTCGCGCTATTAACGCATAAGAGGAGATTTAATCCGTCTTATAAATCGTTCCAAATTGGTTGAACGAAGCTTATTTGCCATAATTGATTTGTTACAAGGAATGAAATCTACCTTTTTGTACATTATATGGCGTGGGGGGATTGTTTCCATAAAAAAATTTAAAATTAAAAAAAAAATTTATTTTATTGTTCCGACTTTCGATACGAAAGTAACGGAATATTTGTGCTCGGGGTGGGTTTTTTTTTTCTTCAGACAAATTTCGACTTTTTAACTAGCCATTTTTGACGGAATTTTTAAATATCATTCGAAAGGTATTGTTGTTCTGAGCTCAAATTTGAAAAGATATTTCACCTGTGATCATTTTTCGTAAAGTTAAGGTGGTTTAAAGATTGCCATTTTGGCCAATTAGGGACAATTAATGTGCGATATATTTCGCGCTATTAACGCGTAAGCGGAGAGTTAATCCGTCTTAGAAATCGTTCCAAATTGGTTGAACGAAGCTTATTTGCCATAATTGATTTGTTACAAGGAATGAAATCTATCTATTTGTACTTCAAATGGCGTGTGGGGTGATGATTTTCATAAAAAAATTCAAATTTGAAAAAAAAAGTTTATTTTATTTTATTTCATTTAAATTTTTATGTTATTACTGCTGCTCCATAAACCTTAAAAGGCAGTCGGAACATTCAGGGCTTCGCCCTGATACGAGCAGTCTTGTTTGATTTAAAATCAGCTAAAAAGAAGCACTCGATGTTGAAGTTTTCATAAATCACACTCATCACCCCCTTAATTGAGACTCCCTATCAGAAAAAAGCGTCAAACAAACGAGAGAGAGCATGCCAAGACAGAACCATGATTTTTCAGGCAAATTTTCTCAAGTGTCCTACAGGGCCTTTGGCAACAAAACTTCAATTTTGTACAAAAAAATGAATTTTGGCAGATTTCAAATCATACGTCCACGGGAAGGTCATCTTTTAAGTCTATTGTCACATATATTTGACCCATGCATTAGCCTTTCTTTTTGTAAATTGTTTGAGCACAATGAGTCTGCCACCTGGGATTTAGGAGAAGAACGGTCGTTGACGTGATAATGCATATTTTATCATCAATAATCTAATTTTTTGAAATAGATTCTGTAAATATATAGAACACACATGGTGGTCCTCATTTTCAGTTTATCATGCATCATCATGCAGAAACAGATAAGGAGTTATTTGAACCTAGAGCACCGCAATTTTTATGTTGATGTCTGATTGTCTGAGTTGATAAGTTAAAAAAGTTCTTGCTATATTTTAATTCAGATTTTTCCTTGACGTTGTAACTCAAATCAAAACCGCTTGTTTCATTCAAATTTTAATCAAGGTTCTTGGATAAAACTGATTCTTTTCTCATTCAGGATCGCTACAACGGAGCCCCAGGGCACAAGGGCATGTACGTTTTGGAAAGCAGCACACACTGATGAACAAATAATTTTCTTAAAAGATAGTCAAATTAAAAATAGTAAAAGTATCAAGCAGATAACACTGAAATTTAACACAGACATTTTGAGTTGTCCTATTTATTTCTTGACAAAATTTGACACAAAAATTTTCGAAATTTGACAGCTGTACCTTCTCGTGAAAAGGCACATTTTGACTCTTTTACTATTTTAACATTTCAGCTGGATCAATTAGCTTGCCGCCATTCCTTTTGCCACGCTATTAGTTAAGAAAAAAAAATTCGGTGATTTTGCGCATGTCTTAATAGAAAATCTGTTTTTCAGAATAAATACTGTTTATATGTTTCCAAATCCTGTAGAGTAAGCTCTGCAGAGCTCTTTTGTTTAAACTTCTTAAGAAGTTTCTGTTTATGTTTTATTGGTTTAATTACCACAAGTTGTGTCGCTTCAAAAGCAAAAACAAAGACTGATTTTTTTTTGAAAAATAAAGGTAGTTTTTGTTGCAAGACTTCAAAGTTTCAAAACTTAATTGTTCGAAAAAAATTTTGGCGCCATTTTTTTTTGTATTAAGCTCAAAGGTCGTTTTACCACTTTTGTCGGCTTACGGGCTGCTCATTCAACTCTAAAAGCGTTTTGAATAACGGTGGTTGTGTTTTTCGACTTTTTTTTGTAATTATTTTAATTTTTTCCTCGAGTTTTTTTATTATTTTTTAAGTCTCCTTACGACTTACTGACTAGCATTGCTGTGTGAGGAATGTTATTTGTATATTTGACCTTGACCTCTAAAAAAGAAAGAATTACTTTCGCAAGTCTAGAAAAAGAGTTGAGAGAATCATAGCTTGAATTAATACGTTGCTGAGAAGTTGTTTTTTATCAAAGAGTTCAGAGAGTTTTAAATTAGTTCCTGTTAAGTTAAGTTAATTGGCCTATCATAGTAGCAGGAGGTAGTTATTTACCAAGCAGTGAAAAAAAAACTGATTGGACAGAAGCATGCCTTCAAAGAAGAATAAACCCAAAAGACCAAACCCTAGACAACAGAATACACTCGACGGACTGGAAGATATTAACAAACAAAATCATTATTTGACGGGAGGCCTTATGCGATGACGGCAGGGGGATCGAAAACCAAAACAACAAGAGATCAAAGCCTGTGTTCTCTAGTGTATCTACAAGTCGCTCAACCAGATATGAAACAGTGGGAGACACTGAACAGGCAGTAGTAAATGAATCAGGGAGCCAGAATCAAAAAACACAAATTGAAATTTTGAGAATACAGATGGAAAAAAATGACAACCCAGCTGCGAAATTCAGCCCAACTGAACGAAACATTGAAAGAATCGCAAACGCAATATGCCTCACCAATCAGTGTACAAAGAGCAAACGAGTAAACAAAGGGAAGGACATGCAAGTCCCACTGTTGAAAAACAATTCCTTAGCTGATCACATTCGGTGGAAGAGGAATATAGAGTGGCGGAGAGGCTGCGTGCAGATAGATATAGAAATTCAAGCAACACCTATCATAATGAACATATTCACAACCCAGAACCAAATGAAATAATCGTAGCGATGCCAAAAGATTTGTCATATGATAGTGAAGGGGTAGACAACCTCATACCTGTATTGGGTGAATCTGTTCTTAAAGCTATCAAAACTGGAGAGCCTGTGAAAAACGAAAAAATATTTCTTAGGACCA